CCTCCAGGGCCCGAGTCCTCCAGGGCCCGAGTCCTCCAGGGCCCGAGTCCTCCAGGGCCCGAGTCCTCCAGGGCCCGAGTCCTCCAGGGCCCGAGTCCTCCAGGGCCCGAGTCCTCCAGGGCCCGAGTCCTCCAGGGCCCGAGTCCTCCAGGGCCCGAGTCCTCCAGGGCCCGAGTCCTCCAGGGCCCGAGTCCTCCAGGGCCCGAGTCCTCCAGGGCCCGAGTCCTCCAGGGCCCGAGTCCTCCAGGGCCCGAGTCCTCCAGGGCCCGAGTCCTCCAGGGCCCGAGTCCTCCAGGGCCCGAGTCCTCCAGGGCCCGAGTCCTCCAGGGCCCGAGTCCTCCAGGGCCCGAGTCCTCCAGGGCCCGAGTCCTCCAGGGCCCGAGTCCTCCAGGGCCCGAGTCCTCCAGGGCCCGAGTCCTCCAGGGCCCGAGTCCTCCAGGGCCCGAGTCCTCCAGGGCCCGAGTCCTCCAGGGCCCGAGTCCTCCAGGGCCCGAGTCCTCCAGGGCCCGAGTCCTCCAGGGCCCGAGTCCTCCAGGGCCCGAGTCCTCCAGGGCCCGAGTCCTCCAGGGCCCGAGTCCTCCAGGGCCCGAGTCCTCCAGGGCCCGAGTCCTCCAGGGCCCGAGTCCTCCAGGGCCCGAGTCCTCCAGGGCCCGAGTCCTCCAGGGCCCGAGTCCTCCAGGGCCCGAGTCCTCCAGGGCCCGAGTCCTCCAGGGCCCGAGTCCTCCAGGGCCCGAGTCCTCCAGGGCCCGAGTCCTCCAGGGCCCGAGTCCTCCAGGGCCCGAGTCCTCCAGGGCCCGAGTCCTCCAGGGCCCGAGTCCTCCAGGGCCCGAGTCCTCCAGGGCCCGAGTCCTCCAGGGCCCGAGTCCTCCAGGGCCCGAGTCCTCCAGGGCCCGAGTCCTCCAGGGCCCGAGTCCTCCAGGGCCCGAGTCCTCCAGGGCCCGAGTCCTCCAGGGCCCGAGTCCTCCAGGGCCCGAGTCCTCCAGGGCCCGAGTCCTCCAGGGCCCGAGTCCTCCAGGGCCCGAGTCCTCCAGGGCCCGAGTCCTCCAGGGCCCGAGTCCTCCAGGGCCCGAGTCCTCCAGGGCCCGAGTCCTCCAGGGCCCGAGTCCTCCAGGGCCCGAGTCCTCCAGGGCCCGAGTCCTCCAGGGCCCGAGTCCTCCAGGGCCCGAGTCCTCCAGGGCCCGAGTCCTCCAGGGCCCGAGTCCTCCAGGGCCCGAGTCCTCCAGGGCCCGAGTCCTCCAGGGCCCGAGTCCTCCAGGGCCCGAGTCCTCCAGGGCCCGAGTCCTCCAGGGCCCGAGTCCTCCAGGGCCCGAGTCCTCCAGGGCCCGAGTCCTCCAGGGCCCGAGTCCTCCAGGGCCCGAGTCCTCCAGGGCCCGAGTCCTCCAGGGCCCGAGTCCTCCAGGGCCCGAGTCCTCCAGGGCCCGAGTCCTCCAGGGCCCGAGTCCTCCAGGGCCCGAGTCCTCCAGGGCCCGAGTCCTCCAGGGCCCGAGTCCTCCAGGGCCCGAGTCCTCCAGGGCCCGAGTCCTCCAGGGCCCGAGTCCTCCAGGGCCCGAGTCCTCCAGGGCCCGAGTCCTCCAGGGCCCGAGTCCTCCAGGGCCCGAGTCCTCCAGGGCCCGAGTCCTCCAGGGCCCGAGTCCTCCAGGGCCCGAGTCCTCCAGGGCCCGAGTCCTCCAGGGCCCGAGTCCTCCAGGGCCCGAGTCCTCCAGGGCCCGAGTCCTCCAGGGCCCGAGTCCTCCAGGGCCCGAGTCCTCCAGGGCCCGAGTCCTCCAGGGCCCGAGTCCTCCAGGGCCCGAGTCCTCCAGGGCCCGAGTCCTCCAGGGCCCGAGTCCTCCAGGGCCCGAGTCCTCCAGGGCCCGAGTCCTCCAGGGCCCGAGTCCTCCAGGGCCCGAGTCCTCCAGGGCCCGAGTCCTCCAGGGCCCGAGTCCTCCAGGGCCCGAGTCCTCCAGGGCCCGAGTCCTCCAGGGCCCGAGTCCTCCAGGGCCCGAGTCCTCCAGGGCCCGAGTCCTCCAGGGCCCGAGTCCTCCAGGGCCCGAGTCCTCCAGGGCCCGAGTCCTCCAGGGCCCGAGTCCTCCAGGGCCCGAGTCCTCCAGGGCCCGAGTCCTCCAGGGCCCGAGTCCTCCAGGGCCCGAGTCCTCCAGGGCCCGAGTCCTCCAGGGCCCGAGTCCTCCAGGGCCCGAGTCCTCCAGGGCCCGAGTCCTCCAGGGCCCGAGTCCTCCAGGGCCCGAGTCCTCCAGGGCCCGAGTCCTCCAGGGCCCGAGTCCTCCAGGGCCCGAGTCCTCCAGGGCCCGAGTCCTCCAGGGCCCGAGTCCTCCAGGGCCCGAGTCCTCCAGGGCCCGAGTCCTCCAGGGCCCGAGTCCTCCAGGGCCCGAGTCCTCCAGGGCCCGAGTCCTCCAGGGCCCGAGTCCTCCAGGGCCCGAGTCCTCCAGGGCCCGAGTCCTCCAGGGCCCGAGTCCTCCAGGGCCCGAGTCCTCCAGGGCCCGAGTCCTCCAGGGCCCGAGTCCTCCAGGGCCCGAGTCCTCCAGGGCCCGAGTCCTCCAGGGCCCGAGTCCTCCAGGGCCCGAGTCCTCCAGGGCCCGAGTCCTCCAGGGCCCGAGTCCTCCAGGGCCCGAGTCCTCCAGGGCCCGAGTCCTCCAGGGCCCGAGTCCTCCAGGGCCCGAGTCCTCCAGGGCCCGAGTCCTCCAGGGCCCGAGTCCTCCAGGGCCCGAGTCCTCCAGGGCCCGAGTCCTCCAGGGCCCGAGTCCTCCAGGGCCCGAGTCCTCCAGGGCCCGAGTCCTCCAGGGCCCGAGTCCTCCAGGGCCCGAGTCCTCCAGGGCCCGAGTCCTCCAGGGCCCGAGTCCTCCAGGGCCCGAGTCCTCCAGGGCCCGAGTCCTCCAGGGCCCGAGTCCTCCAGGGCCCGAGTCCTCCAGGGCCCGAGTCCTCCAGGGCCCGAGTCCTCCAGGGCCCGAGTCCTCCAGGGCCCGAGTCCTCCAGGGCCCGAGTCCTCCAGGGCCCGAGTCCTCCAGGGCCCGAGTCCTCCAGGGCCCGAGTCCTCCAGGGCCCGAGTCCTCCAGGGCCCGAGTCCTCCAGGGCCCGAGTCCTCCAGGGCCCGAGTCCTCCAGGGCCCGAGTCCTCCAGGGCCCGAGTCCTCCAGGGCCCGAGTCCTCCAGGGCCCGAGTCCTCCAGGGCCCGAGTCCTCCAGGGCCCGAGTCCTCCAGGGCCCGAGTCCTCCAGGGCCCGAGTCCTCCAGGGCCCGAGTCCTCCAGGGCCCGAGTCCTCCAGGGCCCGAGTCCTCCAGGGCCCGAGTCCTCCAGGGCCCGAGTCCTCCAGGGCCCGAGTCCTCCAGGGCCCGAGTCCTCCAGGGCCCGAGTCCTCCAGGGCCCGAGTCCTCCAGGGCCCGAGTCCTCCAGGGCCCGAGTCCTCCAGGGCCCGTCCTCCAGGGCCCGAGTCCTCCCCCCCTCCCCCCCACCCGGTCCTCCAGGGCCCGAGTCCTCCAGGGCCCGAGTCCTCCAGGGCCCGAGTCCTCCAGGGCCCGAGTCCTCCAGGGCCCGAGTCCTCCAGGGCCCGAGTCCTCCAGGGCCCGAGTCCTCCAGGGCCCGAGTCCTCCAGGGCCCGAGTCCTCCAGGGCCCGAGTCCTCCAGGGCCCGAGTCCTCCAGGGCCCGAGTCCTCCAGGGCCCGAGTCCTCCAGGGCCCGAGTCCTCCAGGGCCCGAGTCCTCCAGGGCCCGAGTCCTCCAGGGCCCGAGTCCTCCAGGGCCCGAGTCCTCCAGGGCCCGAGTCCTCCAGGGCCCGAGTCCTCCAGGGCCCGAGTCCTCCAGGGCCCGAGTCCTCCAGGGCCCGAGTCCTCCAGGGCCCGAGTCCTCCAGGGCCCGAGTCCTCCAGGGCCCGAGTCCTCCAGGGCCCGAGTCCTCCAGGGCCCGAGTCCTCCAGGGCCCGAGTCCTCCAGGGCCCGAGTCCTCCAGGGCCCGAGTCCTCCAGGGCCCGAGTCCTCCAGGGCCCGAGTCCTCCAGGGCCCGAGTCCTCCAGGGCCCGAGTCCTCCAGGGCCCGAGTCCTCCAGGGCCCGAGTCCTCCAGGGCCCGAGTCCTCCAGGGCCCGAGTCCTCCAGGGCCCGAGTCCTCCAGGGCCCGAGTCCTCCAGGGCCCGAGTCCTCCAGGGCCCGAGTCCTCCAGGGCCCGAGTCCTCCAGGGCCCGAGTCTCTGTCACCTTTAGCTCCCCTCCCTTCCCCCATCAAACCTAGGTTTAAAGCCCTGGTAATCAGCCCTGAGAGCTTGCTCCCCAGCACACTTGTGCCCCACTTGCCCAGTCCTGGTCCCCAGATTTTGTGCCAGGAACATGATTCCACAGAGCCTTCAAGCCTTTCTGTAGCTTTAAAGATGCTGAAACGGTCCCTGGCTTAAGAAGAACTAGTTCCCCGCCTGGCACTACGAATCTTGCTTTAGGGCTAAAAGCTGAGGCTCTTGTCTGTTACGTGAACAGCCAGGGAGACTCGGCCTCCCTTCTCTGTTGAGTTGGTGCTGCCTACCCTTAACTTTTTCAGTACTCAGTAGGTCCCCCAGGCTCTTGTATTTTGAGAGGGATTGCAATCTCCCTTACATCATATGGGAATCCCAGTTTCTGTCTCAAGGGTGAATGGTGTAAGGCACTTGTAATCATTGCAGATTGTCATTGTTGTCCGTTGCCATGTAAATTAAGGCCATGCAAGTACCTTCTACTTTTCTTCTTCCCTTTCATTTGTTGTCTGGTTTCTACCAAATATTACATATTTGGTGAAATACCTTAAAACATTACTTTTTAATTAACAACTGTTTGTTTTTTTTTTTCTCTCTAGGTCTGCCAGTAGCTGACAGAGTAGAAAGGTGTGCTTCTCTCTCTTCCTTGTATTGAGTTAGAGGCAATGCCTGAATCCACTAAGATGTACAAAGAGAAGGAGAAGGACAAAGCCTGGGAGGAAGACTATGAGCCTTCAGCATGAGAGACCCCCAGAGGGACACCGGGGACTGATAGCATGAGCCAGTGGGAGGGTTCGGAATCCGGAACTAATTATAATAACCCTGCCTTTTCTAGAAGTAGTAACGAACATGTATTAGCCTAGGAGCAGAAAAAGCTGCCGCCTGATGTAACGTGTGTGCGTGTTGGAGGAGCCCAGACTCCCCGCGGTCAACTCTTAACCACTAAGTCCCTTGTCAGGTTATTTCTATTAGCAATAAGGAGCAATGGAACCTTAAACATTGAAACCAGGTTGATGAGCCTATTCCACAAGGTCTCATGACTCCACACATGTGAAGTGAAATCTGCCAGGTAGGGATCATTTGACCTTTGCTATAAAGGAAGCATGAGGAGTTATGGGAAGAATTGCCACTCCAGGGGAGTGTGAGGTTCAGGTTACTTAGGGTGCTTTTCTACTGTCCTGGTGAAATGGACTCAGTGTTCCCAAGTAGGCTGCTTTTTCTTTGTGTTTTCTACAATCTCTGTGAAATAGTTTTGGAGACTCTATGAGCTAGTAACATCAGTGGTGACTACTCAGAAAATGGAAAACTCTGGTGGTGCTACTTCCCTGTGAAGTTGTTCGGCAGTGAGTCAAGTTCAGAAGCTGGCAGGTAAGTGTTCCTGGGTTAAAAATTTGATTTGGGTTGGGGAGATTGAGGACTTCTTTCACCTTGTCTGTTTCCAGTGAACTTAGATGGATTCTCAGCTGGTCTCCAGTCCTGGTCCCCGCTCCTGGTCCCCCCCAAGAATTTGCTCCAATACCTTCCCAGGGACAGAGGTGAGACTTACTTGCCTGTAGTTTCCCAGCTCCTCCTTCTTGCCCTTCTTGAAGACCAGAGTGACATTGGCTATCCTCCAGTCTTCAGGCACGTCTCCTGTTCTCCAGGACCTTTCAAAGATGATAGAGTGGTTTGGCGATCACCTCGGCCAGTTCCCTCAGCACACATGGATGCATCCCATCGGGGCCCATGGATTTGTGTGTGTTAAAATGTTCAAGTGTTCTTCAAGTACGTTAAAGTGTTCAAGTTCTTCAAGTCTTCAAGAGCAACGACTGTTTAAATTAAAGTGGTTTGAGTTAAATGCTGCATACATGCTGTGCCATCTCAGGCATGGCCTGATGTTCCATTTCCCTGACTCTTGTGTGGGATTGTATTCTTTGGCAGGACAGACAGCTTATACTTTGGGGGCTAAGTCTTAAACTGCTGCAGTAAATTAACTAGACTTTGACTAGTATAATTATTATTTAATGAGTGTCCCCGACTCACTACGTCACGATTTTGTGTGTTGAATTCTGAGGTCTGAAGCCTGTAATGTCTGTTAAAATGAAAGCAGAATAGCAGGTGTTCCGCATCATATACAGTATCTGTATGAATCAGATGTTTGACAAACTACTCAATGCTGGTCATAAAGTTTGTAAGTCTGGCCCAACAGGTGCCTCACTGGTATAAGTAGATTTTCTGACTGAGATTACACCTGATAATTCATTATCTGATCAGTTTTCTTTTCTGAGTTACTTCACAATTTTGATAATTAAGAAATGGGAATTACCAGTTCTATGTGTCTGACGATATAACATTTGCTACAGATGCGTGTTTTCATCAAAACGTCTTGGAATCTGTCTTTGAATTGAGCACAGGGCATGGGCATGAATGCGTCTTTCCTGCTTTCAGCTGTAATTGCATATTATAGCTGTATCAGCATACATTTTTAAAATTGGACTTGAATAAGGACTTAGCTAATTTTTGAGGGATGTCTGCTGGTAAAGCAGACCTCTTCTAGCAATACTGTGAGATATGGTACACCACACTGCAGGTTTCAGATAATGAAGTTGCAGCCAATTATGTCCAAAATGGAAATTCTCATTTCCATAAAGTAATACCTATTTAAAAAGTAGCCTTCATTCCTGCTATTGGCCTTTTACTTGTCTTTTAACTACAGGGTGCAACTATATGAAAGTTGGCATGACTAAAACATTTTCCTATACTTGAATCAAAAGATAGCTGCTTCATATTTTTTGTGTGTATGTATACTCAATGTGACCATAAATACCACTCATGAATGGTTCTTCCAAATTACATCATTTCAGAATATTTTTTGATGTGATATAATGTCCTAATATCAGTGGCAATCATCTGACATGACAGAACCTGGTAGTAGAATCAAGGCTTATCTAAAGTGAATCATAATTATGGTCACATTTGCTAGTTATATAACTAAACACATTATTTATTTTTAGAAAATATGCAAGACAATCATTAAAAATAAATAAAATATGCAATTAAGGCTCCACTCAAAGTCATCATCCCAAGCCCATGCTGTTCACAAATTCACAACTATTTGGCCCCAGCTCTGCAAACTCACCAGCTCTACACCATACTTCAAGTAGGAGAACACCCCTGTTGGATGTAGAGCATGTTGCAGTCATGATTTTGCAAAGCAGTCCTCAGGGCACAATGAGGAGGTTGTGTTCATCACTGGGATTTAAAAAGTATTTTTGTTTTTAGCACAAATAGCTTTGTCTCGAGAGAATTCTCAAAAAATAAATACTATATTTCCATATTAATGAGAATGTGCTTACATATTTAACACTTCACGTTTTATTCAATTTTTAATACTCTTATCCAGTGGTCTGTACGCACGTACTTAAGCAATGACAAATATAACAGAGCATGCACAAATTAAGAATGCTTTGTTATTAAGAGCAACAAACATCCCCATCTTTTCAGTAACTATCTTTTCTTAATCAATGTCCCATTCTTGAAAAGCGGATGCCTTGCACCATTCCCACACGGAGCCAAGTACTGAATTACATGTGTTAACGGAAGAATAAGGCTGCCAAATAACAAAAGAAGCAAATGAATGTCATGAAAGGTCATTTAAAAAAAAAAAAAGTTAGATATTCCAGCAATCAGACCTCTCGTGAACATGAAAAAATTCTGGGATTCCTGAGGGTAAATTAGTTTTAGAAACTAGCAAAAAAATAAAGAGAAATACACATTCAAAAAAAAAAAAAAAAGTAGGGAGCTTTGAATTTGCTACCTACACTATAAATACTAGGATGTCAAACTATCTATTAAAGGGATTTTAATTAGAAATAAGCACCAAGTGGTACTTCTAAAAGTGTTTTTCTTTCAGGATTTTTTTTTTTAATTAAACTTCTATTTTTCTTTAGTTAACCATTTTGATTTCAGTGTTTATTTGGTACTTTGGAGCACTTTTAATTAGCTGGCTTTCTGCACCATTTCAGTAACATTTCCCAAATCTTTCAGGAAGTAATGCGTCTCTACTTTCTTTCCCCATGCATGCTGTTTACCCATACTGTTGCTGTCTGGTGTGTAAGACTTCCCAGCATCATGTAACAAAGTGGAAATGAAGCACTGAGCTGCCCCTGAGTGTTTGGGACAGAACAAGGACCTTACAGTACAGGGGAGGACACAGTCTTCTTAACAACTACCCAGACACAAGAGAGTGATCCTTGTCCTGCAGCCTCAACCACCGTGTGTGACCGTGGGCACAATTCTAACAGGAGGAAAGGGGGAATGTGAATAAGGCATGTAAAATTACATGCTTTCCCAACGCATCACAGGGATATTGCATGCTAATATCTGCAGCTCTTGTAGATTGGTCTATGGATATTATGATCAAACAAATTTCAGCTGGAACAATGCGCTAGCAGAGAGTACCATTGCTATTCTTGGCTGTAACCGTGAGGCCAAAGTACACAAATGATCACCAGAATTACTCTGTTGTTATGTTTCTTCATTTTGTTTGAAGGAGGAAATCATGTGCTTTGCCAACATGACTCCCACCTCATTGCCACTGTCTCCACCTTACAAAATACTGCACCCCACCAGGTGTGCACACAGAGGGGCACACACACCAGAGCTGGCAGGCTGCACGTAGGCAGTGCTGCTGCAGAGCTCCTGCCCTGCTGGCTCCCGGCACGCTGCTCACTTCCAGATGTCCCTACAGAAACCATCTGGCTCTGCTGAATTAATGCCTTTCTGACCCTGATCTGCTGTGTCCTCTAAGAGTTTGTTTTCATTATCTCACATGAGCTGAAAATGAACTGTAAGCATTTTAAGACCTTACATAGCATTTTCCTATTTTTCACCCCTATACCTTTAATTGCTTTTTACAGTCCAAACAAACTTGGGCCTATAATGAGCCAGACTCCCCTTTAGTGTCAATCAGTGGTGCTCTGCTACTTCAAACTTTCAGCGGCCAAAAAAACCCTCTAATCAACAGCACACAAAAGCACTCAAAATGGTATAATGTATTACGTAGTGCACGTCCATGACGTATTTCAGGTAATGTTTCACCCACAGCTCCTACTGAAGTGACAGACATGCATGCTGCAGGTACAGGTTTTATTGAAAGGATGGATGTACCACACTGCCGCACATTTCACAGTGATGATGAAACATTTTGGAGCGATTCTCTTCCCCTTAGGGGAAGGTGGTTTTTTTTTTGTTGTTGTTGTTGGTTGTTGTTTTTTTTTTTGTTTGTTTTTGCTTGTTTCTTTTCTTTTTAATTTATTTTAATTTATTTTTTTTTTACTTGTACTTTATTTGTACAGACAGGTATCCTGTAAATTTCTTTGACTCTTGTTCCCCAGCGGTCAGTATTGGGGCCTACCCTTTTTAGTATATGTATTGATGATTTGGATGAGGGAGTTGAGTGTACCCTCATGAAGTTTGCAGACAACACCAAGTTAGGGGGAAGTGGTGATCTGCCAGAGGGTAGGAAGGCCCTGCAGAGGGACCTGGACAGCTTGGATCGATGGGCAGAGGCCAATGCGATGAGGTTCAACATGGCGAAGGGCCGGGCCCTGCACTTTGGCTGCAACAACCCCAGATAACGCTACAGGCTTGGGGCAGAGTGACTGGAAGCTCTGCAGAGGAAAAGAATCTGCGGGTGTTGGTTAATGCTTGCCTGAACATGAGACAGCAGGGTGCCCAGGTGGCCAAGATGGCCTACGGCATCCTGGCTTGTATCAGGAATAGTGTGGCCAGCAGGACCAGGGAGGTGATCATTCCCCTGTACTCTGCTGTGGTTAGGCCGCACCTTGAGTACTGTGCTCAGTTTTGGGTGCCTCACTACAAGAAGAACATCGAGGCCCTGGAGCGTGCCCAGAGAAGGGCTGCGAAGCTGGGGAAGGGCCTGGAGCACAAGTCCTGTGAGGAGCGGCTGAGGGCACTGGGGTTGTTTAGTCTGGAGGAGAGAAGGCTCAGGGGAGACCTTACTGCTCTCTACAGCTACCTGAAAGGAAGGTGTGTGGAGCTGGGGGTTGGCCTCTTCTCACAGATAACCAGTGATAGGACTAGAGGGAATGGCCTCCAGTTGTGCCAGGGGAGGTTTAGGTTGGAAATGAGGAGACATTTCTTCTCAGGAAGACTGGATAGGCATTAGAATGGTTTGCCCAGGAAGGTGGTCAAGTCTCAGCCTCCTGACCTGGAAGTCTGAGATGGGGAGCAGAAGAAACCCCCCACACTTCAGGTGGAAAGTTAGAGACCTGCTGCTCCACCTGGACTGTCACAAGTCTATGGAGCCAATGGGATCCAACCCAAGTGTGCTGAAGGAGTTGGCAGATGTGATTGCTGGGCTCCTTTCCATCATCTATCAGCAGTCACGGTCATCCAGGGAGGTCCCAGATGACTGGAGACTTGCTAATGTGATGGACGTCTATAAGAAGGGTCGTAAGGAGGACACAGGGAACTATAGGCATATCAGCCTGACCTTGGTGCCAGGAAAAGTGATAGAATAGGTCATCTCAAATGCAATCACGTAACGTTTGTGGGACAACCGTGGGATCAGGCCCAGTCAGCATGGGTTCATGAAAGGCAAGTCCTGCCTGACCAACCTCATCTCTTTCTACGACTGGGTGACCCTCCTGGTGGATGAGAGAAAAGGCCTATACTTCAGCAAGGCCTTTGACACGGTTCCCCACAGTATTGTCCTGGATAACCTGGCAGCCCATGGCTTGGACAGGTACACTCTTTGCTGGGTTAAAAACTGGCTGGATGGCCAGGCCCAGAGAGTAGTAGTGAACAGAGTGAAATCCAGTTGACAACCGATCACCAGTGGTGTTTCCCAGGGGTCAGTGTTGTGGCCCATCCTTTTTAATATTTGTATTGATCAGTTAGATGAGGAAATTGAGCACAACCTCAGGAAGTTTGCAGACAACACGAAGTTGGGGGGAAGCATTGATCTGCCAGACGGTAGGAAGGCCCTGCACAGGGACCTGATGAGGTTGGATCAATGGTCAGAGAGCAATGGGATGACGTTCAAAATGGCAAGGGGCTGGCTCCTCCACTTCGGCCACAACAAACCCAGGCAATGCTACAGGCTTGGGGCAGAGTGGCTCGAAAGCTGTGCAGAGTAAAAAGATCTGGGGGGTACTGGTTGATGCTCGCAGCAACGTGCCCAGTTGGCCAAGGCCAACGGCATCCTGGATTGTATCAGGAATAGTGTGGCCACCAGAAGGTCCAGGGAGGTGATTGTCCCCCTGTACTCTTAGGTTTGTCCTGGTCTTTTCAACCTTAATGATTTTATGGTTTTATTTTATGTTTTTTTTTTTTTTTTTTTTTTTTTTGTTTGTTTGTTTGTCTTTGTTTTTATTTTTATTTTTTCTTTTCTTTTTTTCTGTGACTCATTCACATCAGCACTGCCGAAGACTCAGCTGGGCTGACATGAGCAACAGGCCTGCTATGGAGGAATGAACTCAGGAAGTGCTGGATCAAGTTTACTTCCCGTTTTGCTATTGATGTTTCTTCCCGTAACACTCCCTACCACCGCTTTTTATTCAAAAGAACAGCCTCAACAACAAGCGCACGGCGCTAGCCCCCTCAGCCACCCTCCGCCCTGCTCGCAGCCCGCCCGCCCGCCCGGCCCTCAAGATGGCGGCCGCGCCGCGTGGCCGCAGGACTACTTTTCCCGTGGCGCCGCGCTGCCCGGAACATGGCGCGGGCCCAGCGGGGCGGTGCCGAGCCCGGCGCCTTCATTGCGCGTCGCGTTCCGCCGGAACTGCCGCGGCGGAGGGCGGTAGGTACGGGCCCAGGCGCTGTGGGCGGCTCGGGGGGGGGGGCGGCCGGAGGGGAGCGGGGTGGCCCTGCCCCGCACACAGCCCCGGGAGTGGGGCAGCCCCCGCTGGGTCTCCTGGCCGCTGGGGTGCGGTGGTCGCGGCCTCCGCCGCGGGCCGTGGGCGGTGGCGCAGCGCTGAGGCGGTTCGGGGCCGTGTGGCCGGGCCCGGTCCGGCTGTGGCGGGGCGCTGGCCAAGTCCAGCTGCTGTTTGTGTGCCCCGCACGGCCTTGTGCCTGTATTGTGCAGCCCTAGAAGGGGGTTGGGTGCGTACCTGTGGTGGGGCTGTTTGTTTGGGTTTAACATTCGAGCGTATGAAAACAGCAAACTAGAAATTCGGGTTCCTCCATTTCACGCGGTAGAAAAATACTGATTGCGTTTTATGTGTTATAGATGAAATGTTATTGATGCATTGATCTCCACTTTGCTGCGTGTTCAGAGCTTCATAAAATAGAAGTCGAGATGAAGAGCAGGGTGACGCAAATAAATGTAAGTATTCTTAAGCCTGAATTGTGGGGGTTGGTTATTCTGTTACTGGTGGTTAGAACCCCCCATGGGCTTCCTTGCTCTTAGGTTTGTCCTGACCTTTCTGATTGATGTGGCTTTTGATAGGGGTGCTTGAGGGATAGGTTGATATCTTCTTGTATCTTTCCAGTCATGTGATTATAGTAGTGCTCCCTCATCTACCAAATAAGCCAGTTAGGAGAGGTGTGCCGTTTGGAAATTGATTAGGAAGGAGGCTGGTGGCTGTGGCAGGAAGCCTGGCCAAGAGCTGCAGGTGACTTCAACAAATATCGCTGGCTTTTGCATGGAGACATGGGAACTTGCAGTTTCAGCAGCATCCACAGTATTGTTTTACTCCTGCGAACGTTCGCTTATCTGTTAGGGTCTGCTTGTGCGAAGGCACATGCTGTGTGTGCCTAGAACTTGAGAATGGAGTCCTAAAAAGACCTGGCTCTACCCATGTGTTAAATACATATTGTATTTATGATATCTATATGATTTATGAAGTTGGAAATGATTTAGTAAGAAAACAAATTATGATTAGGAAAAAAAAGAGGAAGGTGTAACAAAAAACATGTAATAAAGAGGATTCTTAGAAGAGGGAAAAGACACCAAAGTGGTAGAAATCTGTTAATAGTATTGGATATGATGTGACAAAGTGTACAGTAATGTGTGGAGGAAGAAAGCAGTAAAGGATCAAAGGGAGACTGAAGATCAGCCTACCGTAGTCTCTGGTACTAATCAACAGTAGATGCCTCGGGAAGGTACTTTAATGGCTGCCCTGCTCTTCACAAGTGCGTTCCCAGTCTCCGCCTACTTGCAGTTTCCTGAGCCAGATAGTTTCTTTGGTAACCTGTGTGATTTTTGGTTTTCTGTGTTCAGTCTGAGAGTCATGAACCCATGCCCAAACTTAAAATCTGGGTCATCCTGTAGCAGGGAATTCAGCTGCTTAAGCAGGCGTTATTTGGATCTAACTCTCCTTGTCATGAGTCTGACTGCTATAAGCTTTATTTGATGGCCTTTGCTTCTTGTAAGGGAGTAGGAGACTAAAGCCATGATATGCCTTGATGTCAAAATACATATGTTCACACTGAGTATATTATAACATTGGGGCTTGATTTTTTTTTCCCTGTTTTCTTTAAAGCATGGCTCCAGTCACGAAAGGAAAGAGGAATACAGTTCACGCCACAGAAGTTTGTCTCCAGAGGACAGGTAGAAATGACTGATTTATATAACCTATTATTTCATTGATGTACCTCCCATAGAGAGATGAGTCCAAAACAAAAAAAACTCCGTGCTTTTTATCTTTTTACTTATTACCATAACTGAGCAGTGAAAAATAACTGCAGGTTTAATAAAATACTTGCATGCCAAGAAAACGGTAATTAAATAGACTTCTTGTTATAACTAATTATTTAAAAATTCCTCACTCATTTAGTTAAAATCTCAAGGGTCTCAAAAATGGAAATCAGATGCCAGCTTCTTTCTTTGACTCATTGCTGATACTACAACTGTTGCTTTAGAGCAAGCTTATGAAAGCCAGCAGAAATATCATTTGAAGGGCAGTCTACTGAGGCAGGAGATGAACTGCTAGCAATTTAATTTCATGTTTTAATTGGTATAAAACATCTTGTACCAAACAGAATGTCATTTTCAATAGTGTGTTTTCTGTTTCACGCAACACCAGTAAAAGTAGGCGAAACGAATGCATACATCTTAAGAAATACCACATGCAGCATTTGCCTTTGGTATTTGATGCTATTACTGTTTGGCACATACTTCTAAGTTGTAGGAGGTGCTTCCTTTTACAGTGCTTTTCTTGATTAAGAAATATAAATATGTGAAACATATAAAATTATTCCCTGGCTGTCAACATGTTGTTATAAAGGGAGCATCTTCTATTTGAGTGATGCGTGTATTAAGACCCAGAGTGCACAGGTGGACTTGTTGGCATATATGTAAAAGATTGTTTTCAAGTAGATATTAATAGAATCACAGAATTTCTAGGTTGGAAGAGACCTCAAGATCATCAAGTCCAACCTCTAACCTAACACTAACAGTCCCCACTAAACCATATCCCTAAGCTCTACATCTAAACGTCTTTTGAAGACTTCCAGGGATGGTGATTCCACCACCTCCCTGGGCAGCCTGTTCCAGTGCCTAACAACCCTTTCAGTAAAGAAGTTCTTCCTAACATCTAACCTAAAACTCCCCTGGGGCAACTTCAGCCCATTCCCCCTCGTCCTGTCACCAGGCACATGGGAGAACAGGCCAACCCCCACCTCACTACAGCCTCAGTATCACTACAGTATCACTACAGATACTTTAAGGTATCTGTAGAGAGCGATAAGGTTGCCCCTGAGCCTCCTCTTCTCCAGGCTGAACAAGCCCAGCTCCTTCAGTCACTCCTCGTAGGACTTGTTCTCCAGGCCCCTCACCAGCTTCGTTGCCCTTCTCTGGACAAAGAGAATAGCATAGCCTTTTACTGAGAACTTTTTTTTTTTTGGGTTGTGAATAGGCATATAGAGCGGGACAGGTCTCCATCTCCCAGAAGAAGAAGAAGATACTCTGATGACAGCAGGTATGATCAGGAATATTCAAGAAGGGACTACTACGATGACAGAACTTCAGAAGGAAGGTGAATACCAATCCATGTTTTTTAATCAGTATGGAAGTACTGATTTTTAAAGAATAAAAGACAAAAACTTCTCACAAACATTTTCATTGCCTTTTTTCTGTCTCCTTAGAAGGACGGAAAGAGGGAGAGACAGACATTATGAGAAGTGGGAGGAAAGAGAATCTGATCGAAGGAAGCAGAGAAGACTCTCTTCCCCTGATCGTAGAAGTCCAGAGAGATCAACAGTTCAGAGCTCTCTTGCTCATGATGAGGCCACATCAAAGAAAAAGAAAGAAGAAGTGGATCCAATCCTTACTCGCACAGGTGGTGCATATATTCCACCTGCCAAGCTCAGGATGATGCAAGAACAAATCACTGATAAAAATAGGTGAGTTGATGGTAAAGGATTTTAGGAAATGTTGGTGAAAACGGGATACCTTTTGTGGGCTGTAATGATTCTTCTGAAGGTACAGTTTTCTCAGAAAAACAGCTGTGAGCTGTCTCCTTGTAGTCTTCTTCCTTCTTGTCTCTTGGGAAAACAGTGTAACACCAACCAGTCAAACAAGACAAAGAAAAAAAAAAGCAAACAATAACAACAAAAAAAAACCAACAACCAGATTATGATTATACGCACTTCTGCTATTAATGGAGAAGTAGAATACAGAGCATAAACAGGGATTTTTTTTTCTTTTTTTCGTAATACCGCAGAAAACCAAACATGCTGGGTTAATACCATATCTGTGGAGAACTACATTTTCGTATATCATGTTGGTTTTGTAGGTTCCTGGTAGTTAAATATATAACTGTGAACTGACCTTCACATTTATGCAGTGAATGTTTTCTTTGCTATGTTATTTAATACAGCTTGCCTTCATGCTTTTATATAACACTCTACAACAATACTGCCTTAAACTTACATATTAATCATTTGTGATACCTTTGTAATAGCTTGGCATATCAGAGAATGAGTTGGGAAGCCTTGAAGAAGTCGATCAATGGTCTTGTCAATAAAGTGAATGTTTCTAATATAGAAAATATCATTCATGAGCTCCTTCAGGAAAATATTGTTCGGGGAAGGTAAGCGATAAAATATTTTAAAGCATCTCTCTTGTCTTTGTGTTAATAGGTATATTGTTCACTTGTGCATCACTCTGTGTGCTTAGTATATGGATACTGGTCTGATTTTAAAATTCCTTAAATACCTTAGGCTGTATCATCCAGTGTAGAGGAGCTCCCTACTTGGGAAAAGGGACTGGGAGTGGGGGAGGTAGAGGAATGTACTGTATGCTTGGAAGAATAAGACAGTACAACAGATGATAGCTTTCCTTTTCACAGTAGTTTTACCTGCTCATTTTTCTTGAATGTTTTGAAACTTACATGTCTGTGTCTATTTACTTCTGTATTCACAGATTTTATCTGGAGCTAAATATTGTCTGAAAATACACTTTTTACTACAGCTGTTCGACTAGATTGTTTTCCACCTTTATCTTTGCCATTGTAATGTGGAGAAATGATTACTGTGCTCCTGGAGATCACTACTAAGTCATGGCAACCGCATAAGTAAATGCGGTCTGAACTAGACTATTTTCACTTGCGTCTGAGAGCATCTAAGTTTCAAAACAAAATATTCTGTTCCTGTACACCAGTATAAAGTGATTATTTCCAACTGATGACTTCTGATTTAAGTACAAATAAGCTGATGCAGTTTGAATTTAGATCTGTGTAGGGAATTCAGTCGAATTTCAATTGACCATAGACAAGACAGTTGTTTTTCAAGTATGTACTTTAAAGATTTATGTTGTGAGGGTTTTTTTCTTGTCTCCCTTTTGTTATAGAATTTGCATGTTGTTGCATTAGCTTATCTACTACTGCACTAGAAAAAGTATATCTGAGAGGTCTCAGAAGATTCTTTTCAGACTTCATTATTGAAATATACATAGGATGATGTAATAACTTATAAGCCAAGCCCGCTGCTTTTATTTATTTCGGTTCTAAAAAGGTGATCTTGTGTTTCAAAACATAGTTACGATGCTGAAGAATGCAGGTTCATCTGAGAAAAGCATTGAAAAGTATTATTTTGCCTATTCTGGTTTTGCTAAGCATTCAATTTTATTATTCCTAGGTAGATCTTTTAAGGATCTTTCATGAAAATATAATTTTGATTTCCCATCTAGTTTTGCTTGCTTATGTTATTCAGTATTTTGGATCATAATTCTTCATTGTAAATAGTTTCAGAGCAGATGTTTTTTCTGTCACAAAGGGATTTTTGCTATTTCCAATGAGGGGGCTGTGGAAGAAACAGCACAGTCATACAAATTTAAAAGCTTAAGAGCCTGCAGTGTAGTTAAAAATAGGATAATTGCAGGTTACAAGATAGAGACTTTTTAAGTGCTTACCACTTAAAAAAATACCTTTTAATAGGCATAATATTTGAATGATATGGTGCTAGTTTAAGAGTGTCTGGGTTCAGTCATGTTTGGGAAACTTGATTTTTGCAGAACTCCATTTGTTGCACAATAAACAACTGATAGAAGGATACCAGACTGTCATTTTCAAACTGTTCTAACAATGCAATCCTATTTTATGATACGTACTGCATAAAAGTTTTTTCTTGTAATAAAACATTTATGTATTTTTACAGGGGGTTGCTGTCTAGATCCATTCTGCAAGCTCAAGGTGCCTCTCCAATTTTTACCCATGTTTATGCAGCTCTTGTGGCAATTATCAATTCCAAGTTTCCAAATATTGGTGAATTGATTCTCAAGAGGTTGATACTAAATTTTCGCAAAGGATATCGCAGAAATGATAAGGTATGTAAAATGTCAAGAAGCAGCATTCTGATATATAGTTCTTCTGTGCTGAACTTCTACCGTGTACATTCAAATGATGTACTTGGAAGGAACACAGCTGAGACGTGTGGGTTGGGACCCATCATTATATTTGACTTAACATGTTGACTTAACATAAGTACATGAAGCACAGTAGTATTAGAGTATCACGAAAGCTTGACAACCTATTTCATGTTGGAACTGTGATGTTTTTTATTTGAAAATATGTAGTCCTAATTGTAGAACATACCAAAATATTTATTTTCATGACTTAATTTGACTGATATGCACAAATCTTTAGTAAGAGTGTCTGACTTTTAAGTTTTTCTTCTGTATAAGATGCATTGTAATTTCCTGACACATTGTAATTTCCTGCTCTATTTTTTTGCAGCAACTCTGTCTAACATCTTCAAAGTTTGTTGCACATCTGATGAATCAGAATGTGGTATGTTACTATTTGATCCATACTTTGTATGGCTATTCTTGTATTTATTTTTTAGTTTCAAGACAATGGTAGCCGAAGTGAAGATGTTTTCTCTATTCTAAAGGTTACAGTATTTGCTCTAAGTGCTTAGGACCTTTTTTTAGAAAAGACGTTCTATCTGGTAATTTGGCTATGATGTTTTCACTTGCCATTGCACTTATGCTTCAGAGTTTCCCAAAACTTCATGTATGTGTGTAGGCTAGTATTCCAATAGTTTGCTTTTTTTCAAAGGCTGAGTCTGGGGCTCTGTCCCACAGATCTTAAACAGAATTTTCTCACAATGCTGTAATCTCACGCAGTCTTAAGCATCTTTGTAGGCAGAATTAGATTCAGTTGTATTTAAATCAAATTTGAATCTATTTGTATGCCACTATCTTCTGTGTTATAAATACCAGGATTTCTACCTCAGTTAAATGGGATACCCCAGTTTAAAACATTAGTTTCTTCTTTAATAAAATTATGTATATTCCCAATGGTTTTCTAAAAGACTGAAAGAAACAATCTCATATATGCCATTTGCTTACATACATGAGCCTGGAAGATTGGCTTGATTATAGACACGATTCACTTCCAAAACTAGTATTTTACATCCAGCTAGTTTTAGTAATGTGTTATTTTATTTGCTTGTTGGAAATACATTCTGTTTTTCTTAGTGGCAAAATGTTTTTCATTGCTTGCTCACCAGAGTGTAGCCACATTTCGGTAGTATTGTCATTGACTATGGAGATGGTGTACGTACAGATAGCAAAATTTTATTTGAAATGTTGACTACATCTTAATTAGCTTTGTCCAGCGTGTTGTCTTGTGTATGCATGATTAAACAAGAGTCATGTGACATCCTCAAAGGCTAGACTTCTCAGTCAAGTAAATCACTACTAATTGTGGAACATTGTAAACTCATGTTATTTACTGATATTCTTTTTACAGGCTCATGAGGTTTTATGTTTGGAAATGCTCACCTTGCTTCTTGAAAGGCCTACTGATGACAGTATTGAAGTAGCAATTGGGTTTCTTAAGGAGAGTGGGCTCAAATTAACTGAAGTTTCTCCTAGAGGTATTAATGGTAAGTATAATTAGCAATAACATTAGGGTTTGTTTTTGTTTGTATTAGAAAGTCCTTTTTCATATTAACGTTTCTGTCTATTTTGAAAGCAATCTTTGACCGTCTTCGACACATCCTGCATGAGTCTAAAATTGACATGCGTGTCCAGTACATGATAGAAGTCATGTTTGCTGTACGGAAAGATGGCTTCAAGGATCATCCAATCATTCCAGAGGGATTAGATCTAGTGGAAGAGGAGGATCAGTTTACTCATATGTTGCCATTAGAGGATGAATACAACCCAGAGGATATTCTTAGTAAGTTAGAAATGGGAGATACTTCTGTGATTGTATTCCCCAAGAATATAAACTGGAGATGTAATTTGCAGTATTTTTCTTCACTGATGTATTTTAAAGATTCTCTTTTTATTTTAAAGATGTTTTCAAGATGGATCCAAACTTTATAGAAAATGAAGAGAAATATAAAATGCTCAAGAAAGGTAGGTGTGTATACACATTTCATATATAACAGAGGTATTAAGTATTTTACATGTATAATGTGTGCATATTTATGTCTATAGATACTTATATATGTTTATAAATGTAAACTATTTAATTTATTTAATTATTCATTTAATAATTAATAATTAATTTAGTTATTCAACTGTTACCAATTTTATTATTTAACAGCAGGTGGTATCTGTATCCCAAATAACTGTCTTTTAGTTTATTAAAGACAAATAACTGTCTTTACAGTGTATTCCTGCTGTCTTCTTCAGTGTTGTTTCTGCAACTATGTATCATTCGGTTATGACATACCTTGTCCACCTGAGACACTCCTTCGCTCTTAGGTGTTGGAACAGGTGTTCATTAATGGTGAAACTACTGTGATACTACATTTCTTTAATCTGGGATACTGCTCTTTCAGAAATCCTTGATGAAGGTGACAGTGAATCTGAACCAGATCAAGAAGCTGGAAGTAGTGAGGAAGATGAAGAGGAAGATGAAGAGGAGGATGAAGATGGTAAGTGTGTGACTGGCAGCTTGGAGACCTACTGTGCGTGTGTTTTTTTTGTAGGTGAAACAGGAAAGGAGACCTTAACTTCTGTTACACGCTTTCCAAAACTAAGAATGTTGCAATATTGAGGGAGGTTTTAATCCAAACTTATTCCTAGATCTAAGTATTTAATACTAGCAAGTAGTATTCCGTTCCATCCAGTATTCCTTCCGTTTAAAAGGAAGCATTCAGCATAGACAAAACGAGAGAGATCTTTGCTTGATTTTTCTTGACCTTATCAATTTAATTCAAGAAGATCCTTGCAGACCTAAAATGTTAAAAATAACTTACATGAAAATGCTAACTTAAACAAACAAACAAACAAAAACTTTATGGTCATGTCTAGTGTTATATCTTGTTATTAACTTGCTTTTGAAATCAGATTAGGTTTTCTTAAAAATGTATGTACATCTTTTGTTTATATCTCAGTTCTGTTCAGCCCCCTTGCTTGATCTGTGCCAGTCCTCTATTCATGTGTTTTCATATACTGTTGTATATACGTTGTTTCAGTTCGGTTGTATTATATACATTAGTGTAGAGTCTGTAACTGAAAAGCAAGCAAAGTGCTATTCTTGTAGAGTACTTAGAATGAAATTTCCTCACTACTTTAGCAGAGTATTTTACAGTAGAGCAGAACTTCCACAGAACCTCTGGCTGACTGGAGGGGTCAAGGAAGGGAAGAGCATGAGAATTCACAGGATGTTTATGCTATTGCTAAACTTTAAAGACTGAAGGAATAGTGAATAGAGGTGTTTCTGGAATGGTTGTGGTTTGGAATAATAGATTTTTCTGCTCTTGATTCAGGAGAAAAAAGGACTTTGCAGAATGTATTCTACATGTAGTGGAAATAAAAATTCTCTTGTAAAATACAGGAAGACCTATATAAAGCATTGTATAGTTACATTATTCAGAAAATACCTTGTTAATAACGTAAGCAAAGAATGTTAAACCCAGTGGTGCAATTGCTAAATCAGGTTTTAGGATTTCAAAGGAATCAAACTCTTAAAATTTTATCTAAATATTTACCTGTTGGTCAATAATCATACAAACACTGCTTTTTTATTTTCCCTCCTGTAAAAGAAAAAAAAATATATATATATATATATCACACACAAAGTTGCTAATTACAAATATTTAAGACTATAAAAAGTATTGCATAGTGTGTTACAGACCTAATAAAAACAGATGTGTTATAAGAGGTTACTTAGACCTGCCTTGATGTTTTGCTATTTCAAACTGCTTTTCTTTTCCCAGGCCAGAAAGTTACAGTCCATGACAAAACAGAAATTAACCTGGTCTCCTTCCGTCGTACAATTTATCTTGCTATTCAGTCAAGGTAAAGGTTTATATAATTTATATTCAAGTGCGTTTCTTTTGACGTGGTTGAAATTGAATATTCTTTTTTCTTTAAATTGTATGCTAAATCAGGATTTAAGAAGTTCAATACAGAGCCTGATCTGATAGTGTAAAGCAGACTATTGTTTGACAAATGGGTAGATGAGTTATCATCCTAAGATAAATTCATTTTGTTTAAAGTGTTTATGAAATTAGTGTGCTGGGACTTTTCTATTGCTGTAATCAGAATTGTTTTAGTGAACAAAGGTCAGTGGTTTTTATTGTAGTTACATTGCACGGATAAGAATTTTTTTTATCTTATTATAGCTTAGACTTTGAAGAATGTGCTCACAAATTGCTGAAGATGGACTTCCCCGAAAGTCAAACTGTAAGCCTTGCTTTTTATTCTTTTTTGTTATTAACATGATTATAAAGTAGTCCTGTGGTAGTATATAGAATACTTCCTTGTCCTGAGACCCAGTCGCTATAAAGAGCGGATGAACAGGCAGTCTCCTTACAGGTGTTTCTCATAATGTCTTTAAACTGTTAGAGCAAATAGGCTGATACCTGTTTCTTAAAATGCTTTTTTTTTTTTTTTCACACAGTTTCTACTTTCTATCAAGCAGCTTAAATGTTTAAGGCCTATTTGAAAATGCTGGTTGGTTGGACTGTTGGAAGAGTTAAGCTCTAACAAAAGTACTGTAGCATGGCAGACATTCTCAGTATTTTGTCCCTGAAAGAGGAGTTGGAGACAATACTTGAAGGCAGCTGTGAACATTGTCAGTGGAGCTAGGAATATAGGCTAGTACTAAAAGAATGAACTGTGGTTTTGCTTCTACAGTGTTCTGAATAATAGTGTGTATTGATTTAAAACAACTTGGGTATGGATGATTTATTGCCATCTTCTCAGAAAGAAATTGTTTGCAGACACTGTTTAAGATCAATTGGTATGTTTTCAAGTAAAGGAAATTGTTCCTCAGTCAGTAAGTAATTTACATGAAAGCATATGAAGAATTCAGATGACTGCTGTGTATTTTCTTATTTAATTCTGTGCATGGAGTATTTCAAGTCTACCTAAATGAAATACTAAGCACACATAGGATTATGGCTTCCCATGAAGCCATAACCTGAAGGATTCTAAGTAGAGGAAAGAAATCCTGTTTTGCAGCAAATCAGTTCAGCTATAGGGAGAACAATCTAGAATATATATGCTACATCATACAATGAAGGTATAAATTGGGTAATGCTGCTTATTGAGTAATTGCTTTGCAAAATACTTCTCAAATGTTGGTGTTTAATACCACTGCAGTCTATCAACTACCAGCTATTCTGTGATCAAGATCTACAAAGTAAATGTATTTAAAAAGAAAACAAAAACAAAACAAAAACACCACAACATAAGTCAGAATCTTAGGTATGTAAATCAGACTCTTTTTTTACCACTTAATTTGGGAAGACTAGGTGTTTTTGAGATTTAATATTTGCTGCCAGGATACTTGCTTTTACTTTCTGTGAATGCCTTACTTGCTGAAAATAAAATATCCCAAGATGCACAAATGCAATGAAGGTGTTACTTTCCATGTAGGACTAATCTATAGGGTACTAATTTACTGAATGTGAATCTTTTTACGTTACATAATTGTATGAATTGTATGTGCTTTATAGAAATCAAAACGGAAGTTTGGGCTTTGAGAAACTTGGTATTTCCCCTACTAATCAAAATTTAAAATACAAGAACAACAGAATAATCCTGGGCACTGCAGTGTACTACAGGATAGTGATGAGAATGTCAACATTTTTTTTTTTGTTTTTATTTAGTAAGCTGTTTTTCTCTGACTTGAGGTGGAGACACTTGTTATTTTTGCTATGAAATGCTGCTTTTTCAGAAATAAATGATGCTGTTAAACAGAAGCATCAGTCTTCTATTTCCTATCTGATTTGCATGCATTTAATTTGTAGTCTTCTTCAGCTGTATATTCTCCTTCCTGAGACTACTCACCTAAACCTCATCTTTTTTTTTTTTTAATGCTCCTTTGTTTTGGATGCAAAGTTTCTATGCCTCAGTGTCTATTATTCTTTACCTAAACCACCCTTTCTTTCTACAATTTTGTATTGCAAGTTTACAGGCAGTTTTTCCTTTTTTGATCTTTAACATAGGGTTTTAGTTTTTTTTTTTTTGTTGATTTGATGCATTTTGGTATGCTCTGCTCTGCACCGTTTAGCAGTAGCACTGAAGTACTTAGTATGTAAAATATTCAGAATTTTATTTTTTTCTTTTTTGTTTGGCTTGTAAGGAAAAAAAAAACATTACTGATATTCTTTACAGTAAATTTAATAAGAGACTTGCTTTTCTTAAGTGCTAAGGGACCAACTGCTGTCTGCAGATCAGAAGTTGAAGAGCTTTGTTGTAGTCTCTTCTAGAGCCTGTGACAAGCTGTTCTAAACAAGCCTTTCAGTTAGTTCTTAAGCATATGTTTGTTGGGCTATTTCTGTTCTTAAAAAGTACTGTTATTATCTGTGTTAAAACTGCATTAATGTAATGCATTGCCAAAGAAAAATAAATTAAAACTAGTAGAGGAATATGATATTACCAGTTTTCTGGCTTCTGAACTACAACGAAAGCAAAAAGGAAGCCTGTTTAAAATGTCAGAAATAGGCTTTTCAGTTTGCTTTCCCTTAACAGATTTTTGTTGCCTCTGCTCTTGGACGAGCATGTTTCAGTTTCTGGTGGTTTTAGTTAAAAGGATTTGAGAATCTTCATGGTAGTACAGATCTAGACAGAAAGAAAGAAGCGCTTAACTAGAGAATCATTCCTTCTTTAGTGCATGAGGAATGCAGAGCTTTTTCTGGAAGATCTTACTGCATACAAACTACTTAATTTCAAAAGGATTTAAGCATTGTTCAAGCTGAGAGCATAAAGTGTTCTTCCCTTGTTGCTCAGCCCACAGCGGTGGGGAAAAAATACACCTTGTTCTTGCTCTTTAGAAGTTTGGCTAAAATAGGTTTGGCTTCTATTTGTTCTTTTCAGTGGTTGTGATGTGATGTGAACATTGGTTTACAGCAAAGTTTGAAACTTCAGTAAATTAGCCTCATCTGTAAGAGTATCGTCTTCAATACAGCTATCTCAAAAACAATGTGTCACAAGATTTTTATTTATTCATCTATTTTTTACTTGAAAGGAGAAAACTTGTTCTAGGCACAGCCTTCTTGAAAGAATTATGCATGCTTTTGACACATTTTCATTTTTACGGAATGGTGTCACACTTCCTCAAATCAGTCCTACTTTGGGGTGGAGGGAGTTATGAGTGTCTCTGTTGTGCTATTTCTGCATTTAGTGTTTGAAGACAACAGGAGTACTAATTTTGACTTGACATTCACTGAAAATGTAGTCCAGGAAGCTGGTATGGAGTGGGATGGTCTAAAGCTGATAATTGTCTTCTGGTCAAGTAGATGATTTCTTAAATGCCTTGCTTTCCTTTCTCACTACAAGGCATTGCAACACTTAGGTTTGGCAACTGCACAGTGATTACTTCACAGACTTGCTGCTGTCTGTAAAACATGATTATCCTCAAGTGGTTCTTCTGTCTTCCGTATGAAGATTTTTTTGTGAGCCCTAGATGCTGAATCAATGTAAACTTTCAGAACTTTTGTTTTAAAAATAGCACATACCCAAACAGTAAATGAAATGGAGTTTTATATGTTTAATTGGCGTTCTATTAATGCATAAGTGCAGTATAACATACATGTAGTATTTCCCTCGTTCTTTTGTTAATATCAGTGTTGTTAATAGACTTACACTTCCATACATGAATATACTTAATTGTATGAAACATATACTGTATCAGCTTGGACTCGATCATATCATTTAATTCAGGCTCCTAATGAAACTAACTAATTCTTTTTAAATACATTGCCTTAAATCTGCAAGTTTAATCAAAATCAAAGCAATCTTATTCTTGAACCACTCTTCTAGGCATCTGCCTGGGTCAAGGCGTTAGTAGCTCTCTTAGTTTCAAGATATTGTAGTAGGGTGAAGAACAGTAAAATTTAAAAAAAAAAAAAGCAAACAAAAAAAAAAAACACAAAGCAAAACAAAACTTGCCTTACTTTTAGATTAAAGAATTTGCTATCTGAAGGATAATGTTAGGTTAGTCTGACCATTTTATACTAATTGAAGTTCTTGTAAATTGCATAGTATTTTGATCCATTTTTACATATATAGTAGGAGCCTCAAGACTATAACAGCAAAAAAAAAAAAATACTTCTAAACATGGTAGTTAGAATATAAAATCTTAATAGGCAAGGTCTTACTCACTCAGTGGCTTTAATGTGTGTAACATGCAGTATTGTTGACATCAGTATAATCTCTGAAGATAAACTGTAGAATCTGGATCTTGAGTTAAAAATCGGAAAGCCCCTTAGTGGAACCAGTTTACTTTCTTTCGAGTTAATCATATAAGTTACGTATTTAGAAATGAAAACAGTTTCTAAACAGAGTTCATTAGGTGTGAATGAACTGGATGCTTTGTACCAACGTCCATCCAACCCATTATCCTTTTTGGATAAGAACTAGTTCTTTAGGGAGAACTGAAAGAAATGCCGTGTATTTAGAGGGATATCTCCTTATTTGTGTCAGCAGTTTTGGGAAGTGCTATTTTTCGATGGTATAATATTGAATTCAAGACATCTACAAAAGATCATTCACTTCATCTGTATGGAACATCAGATATTTTTAAAGTATTTATTTACCTCGTGATTGGATAGCTCTGCTTTCGGAGCTAAGCTTCATAGTTGTTTGTTCATCATTGTATGAAAGTCTTTAAACAGCACAATATCTTAATTAAAACTGAGAAACAAAACAAGTTCATTGTGTTCTCTAAAGCAAATGAAGGGCTAAGACCCACAGATTCTCCTTGCCATAAACATCATCAGAAGTGTTATCATTGGAAGCAAAGAAATGAGTTAACTAACCTTTTAAAGCTATAAATGAAGCTAGAATTGCAATGTGAACTTGTCACATCTCTCAAAAAACAATTAAATCATTTTAAAGTTTATTAATTTTTAATCTGCAAGATGGTTACTCTAGACCTAACCTTGAGTTGTTGTGATAACACTAGCAAGAATATCTGTGGGCAAGTCTATTTTCATGCATGTGGTTATTTGAGATACCCTCCTAGAAATCATTGTAATATTTAATTAAAATGTTAAAATATTTAATTACTGTAAACCACAGGGGATACCAATGTTGTAATTGCATTTAAGATGAGGAACAGAAGTAATTTGTTTTTTCAAGTCTTGCTACTTTATTAGCAATGGCATCAGCACTTTACCCCTGTTGATTGTTTAAAAACTGATTAACTGCAGCATTACTGTAAAACGGGATAATATAAAAAGTTAATATGCATTTTAATATCGCAAGCTAACACAATGCGACAGTGTTGATAGGAATGCCTTTAAACACACTTGCAAGCTTCTGTTTGATACATTACTGTCTCAGTATTTAGAAGGGATTATTTCTTGTTAAACATAGTTGGCTTTTTGTTTGTCGTGAGTACAGTGTGTGATGAGCAAAATGTTTCTTTTTGGCGTGTGTACTTGGAAGAATGGCACAAGTGGGAGAATATTGAGTCTGGTAGATGTTACATTAAACTGGTTTCGATACAAAGAATAAATATCATGATTGAAATTATGACAGCTCAGGCAAAACTTCATTTTATTTTTTCCTCAGTTAAGCGGTATTTTTATGGGAGTGTTAGTTTAAATATAAATTTATCTGAACTAATAATGAAAAATACATGACTGATAGCCTAAAACCTGTTTGGGAATGCCATAAACTAGTTTATAGTATGAAGTAGGTCACATTAGAAAATACTAAAATAAAGTTAATGGGGGAAATACTGCAGTCCTGTTTTGTGCTATATATTTCATGGCTCTTAATTCACATAAAAACGTTTGCTTCATTTGTCTTAATTACTGTTTCAAATTGTGCCCTGAGCTGTATCACAATCTGCTCGGTTCACATAGCCAGGAAATTAAGTTTTCTATTTATATATATACATGTATATATATGTGTGTGTGTGTGTATATATATATATATTTATATGTATATATATATTTATATGTATATAAAAAAATCCTATATGTTTATTGCCTAGACCACTGTTTGTCAGCTGGTGAAGTGCTCTGATCCTAGAGGTGACAATCACATTTCCCTCTGGGTTTTGATCCAGAATCCTTGCTGGTGTTGTTGCACACAAAAGAGGGGGGGGGGGGGGAAAGGAGACTGGGGTCAGAGCTGGTTGTTCTAAATAGTTGGTAACAGTGGCAGGAGAGCATCTTCAGTGGGATTGCTGTAATTGATACTTATATACACATGCGCTCAGACAGGAGGAAAGTGTAAGGTAGACTGTCAGTGATAGAGTGTGTGTAAAAGCTTTGAGAGGCTAATCTACCTCTGCTTCCCCTGCTCCTTCCTAGCCATGAATGGGAGATGCTCGTTTAGAGGGTGATTCCAAGCAGGAGCCTGAAGGAGTTTCCTTTAGAAGAGTTTCTCTCCGTTCCTTCAGTATAAAGGAGGAAGTCTAGGCATATCAGCCTCACGAGGCTTAAATTTAGGCTTCCTGAATTATTTCTCATGTATCTGAAATAGCCCAAAGCTTATTTAAAAATAAATAAAAATCCAGAATGGTAAAAGTGCTTTTGTTGGATTGAATTTGTTTTTTGCATTTGTTTGGCTGTTCCTCCCATCCCTCACAAAATTACAGCTTTTTTCTCATTCTTGCCAGCAGTAGGATTTAAAAACCTGACTTTTGCTTGAACTACCAGATGGTCACTTTATGATTTATATATATATATATATATATACACATATATTATATATGTGTGTGTATATATATATGTATGTATATGAATAATTATAACAATTACATACAGAAATCATGTGGTTTAAAATTGAAATAGTTGTTTTAAGATGTGTATAAATGCTTAACATTCTTAACATATGCTTAACAATGCTTAACATATGCTTAACATTCCTCCCATTCATGAGCTGCCAGTTCCTGCTCATAAAGATGGGTGTATACATGCAACTTTCTAGTTTCAAAGCCTAGAGTTCTGAAATTAAGGTAACAAATAAGTACTAACCATACTTAGGTATTATTTTTTCTGGGCTTTCCTGTGATATACTTTAGTGTGGATTTTCTTAGCTTCATTTTCTATAGATGCAGGGGATTGGTGCTATTTATTTAAAAAAAAAAAAAAAGTTTTTGTGATAACTCCTTTTCCTCACTGTGGTAAAGACAATTGGTAAAGTAGATTTGACTTTGTTATTGCATTGTATGGTGTGTTAGCTCAAAAACTTTAGCTTAAGCAGAAGAAGAAATACAAATGGCAAAAAGTTAATGTTTAGGCCTCCAATTACCTCAGAAACAAGAAATTCAGAAGAGTGCTGATGTTTCTAATGAGTTTTATGTAAATAGTCTTGTTTTAAAGCTATCATCATTGTATGGATTTCTTCAATATTTTGGTACTTTGTAATGATATTTTTACTGCTACAGTGAATTTATCTAGTGAAAATTTTATTTTAAATCAGAAAGAACTCTGCAATATGATACTTGACTGTTGTGCTCAGCAAAGAACGTATGAGAAGTTCTTTGGGTTACTGGCAGGGGTGAGTTCTAATTTCAGATTTTATACTGTATGCTTTACTTTAGTTCTTGTGTCAAACTTAAATTTTAACAGATAAGTAAAACTAATAGTCTTTATTCTGAAAATGTTATGCTAATTGATTGAATTAACATTTTGATCGTAATAAGCATAGTGAATGCAATATAAGAACTCATTCTCTCCTTAGGTTATTACTTTTTGTTTCCCTTTTTTCATTACTGTGGAAAGGTAAATTGTAGGCCAAGGCATGGTACTAAAAGTTAAATGTACTATGAGTTACTAGAAGAATCGTTTCCATGGCGCTAAAGATTGACTTTAGAGACTCCTCTTTTCCAGATACTTCAGATCGTCTTTAGAGGACAAAACAGTCATTTCAGTCCTGTTCTTTTGTTTTGTCTTTCAGTAAACTGCTAGCTCCTTGTTGGCTTTTTTTTTTTGTATGTGTAAGTAATTAATAGTTGCAGTTATTTCTTAGTTCAAGCTTTCCCTGTCTTATATTGACAGAGCTGACTAGTTAAGTTCAAAAAGTTGCCCTGAGGGAGTGAGCAGTTACACTGAAAGGGCTTGTTTTTTTCCATTTCTACTTTTTTATCCAATATTTCTGCTGGCATTCTGTTCTGAAGCACTAACCATATAAATCTGCATATTCAAAAGCAGTAGAATATAATTGTCGATTTCCATCTTCCTTGAAATGTTTATGTCCAAAATGTCTTACCTCTGGCTGTGTTCCCTGCTGCCTCTCTAGTTTTGAATACCCATTCAGTGATGTCATGTAAAAGTTATATTTGAGGGGTTACATCCAGTGAGAATACTGGATGTATGGAAGTAAAATAAATTGCTGGATAATTTGCTGGAGGTCAAAATCAATTATTACTACTTCTGCAATGCAGATGAGTTTCTTGCTCTGACAAACTGCCAAAAGCAATAAAATATATCAATTTGAAGGTGTTTACTTCTCCTTTAAGTATTAGTTTAAAGGAAAATCTTGCAGTAAATATTAGCACCATTACATTTACATTGCACAGGTCACTTATATGTAGGTTATGTGCATGTTTAATATTTTGTTTAATCTGTTTAAATTATAAAATACTGTTTCAGCGTTTCTGCATGCTAAAAAAAGAGTATATGGAATCATTTGAAGCTATTTTCAAAGAACAGTATGATACTATCCATCGTTTGGAAACAAACAAATTGAGGAATGTTGCCAAGATGTTTGCTCATCTACTGTACACTGATTCAATTCCCTGGAGTGTAAGTAGAACAGTATATTGTCATATCCTTTTTATTTAATTATTAATGCCTAGTATTTTGAAATGGTAGGTTAAGCGTCAGTTTTACTGTTTTTCTGCACTTTGGAGCTATTATTATTTTAAATAATATAATTAATTTAAATATATTCTCAAGCAAACTGTTGAACAATTGTGTTGATCATCTCTTCTTCCTAACCTATCCCTGTCCCCTGCAGTTCTTAATTAGTTGATTCGCGCTATTATTTTACAGAGCTCAGCTGGAATTGATTGATTAAAATGTACTTTTCTAGCTAATCCGCAGTGTAAGTAGTAGAACTGTCTCTTGAAAATAAGTCTAAAAAAATGAAAAATTATGCTTATAATTACATAAAGCTTTTCATTTTAATGTATAATAAATTTAAAAATGCTGCATTTTTGTTATTTAAGATTTCTTTTAGAAAGAATAAAGGCAATCTTGCATTCTGCTATATAACAATACAACATTAAAAAAAAATATATAAGGTAACTTTTCATGCACTTTTATTCCTAGTACGCAACCTAATCTAATTGTCATTCACAAGCCAGTTGTGAATTGTCACACACAGTTCAAATATTTCATCTGTTTAGAACTGAAGTTTCAAATCTTTAACTTTCCAGAAGTTCACACATCTGACTTTTTTTTTCTTTCACGGAATTTTCTTAAAATAAATTGTAAAACAATTACTAGCATAGAAGTGATCAGAAACTTTCTGCAGGTTGTAGAACAGAATTCTCAAGGTCAAAAAAGTCTCGACCAAGATTTTTGTGAACAAAAATAAATAAAAATCAGGCTGTTAGTTATTTCAGGTCAATGGGTTTTAAGAGAAATGAAAGAATGTATGTCTTAGTGTGTTTTGTTTTTTTTTTCCCCCTCTAAACATTTTCAGGTCCTTGAGTGTATAATACTGAGTGAAGAAACCACCACATCCTCCAGTAGGATTTTTGTCAAAATATTCTTTCAGGAGCTTAGTGAATATATGGGACTTCCAAATCTAAATGCAAGATTAAAAGATGAGTAAGTTGAAATCTATTTCAAAACTGTACATTGAATTAATATAAAAAAATAAAAACAAGAACTCTATTTTCAAATTCAAACAAGACCATAGTTTTGTAGCTGCAGTATTCAAGAGTAAGTACGTGTATAACTTCATGTATTTCAAGAGTCCTGTTAAATTGAGTGCTACCTACCATTTACTTGGGTTCAAGTATGTGCATTTATATATATTTTAGTGAAGGACTTGTTAGTGTTAGATCAGAGGTTGGACTCGATGATCTTGAGGTCTCTTCCAACCTAGAAATTCTGTGATTCTGTGATATTGTCAGCTATATGGCAATGTAATAAAAGTTGCTGTGACTTCTCTTTCTGGCAATACTTAGAAAAAAGCATCTAATTCTAGTTTTTCTTGGATTAGTTGCTTGCCCTTCAATCTGATGTGAATAACACATCCTTTTAAGTATGTATGTTTTTAATACACTATATTCTGGCAACACTGATCTTTGTTACTAGAAGAAATCCCAATTAACAGGAATTAACTCTGTGTATTAACAGCACTTAGTAGATGTTTATACTTAGGGCCTTGTTTGATGGAACTTTGTCATAGGTGCCTAGATCTTTGACCTTCTTGGTCATCAAGTAATATCCATTGCTATCACAAGCTAGATTTCAGAGATCTCTTCAGGTCTTCACAAAATTAGGCTCTTGATTTTGTCAAAACCTGACAGTATTTTTTTTATATAGACCAACAGAAGAATTTTGTTAATATATGCCACAGATATAATGGAAGTACTGAAAAATGCACGAAGAGAAAACTTTTGCCGTGCTATGAAGTTGTGTGCAGTTCCTTTTTCAGTTTATTAATGTCAGTGAGAATTAGTGCTAAACTGGCATAGCGCTTGATTTAGATATTTGTTTTCAACAGAACATTGCAGCCTTTCTTTGAAGGATTATTGCCTCGGGATAACCCAAGAAACACTCGCTTTGCCATCAACTTCTTCACTTCTATTGGCCTTGGAGGACTAACGTGAGGAACATGTTTTTTTGTTTCCATTTGATTCTTGTTTTCTTTTCCTGTGCCTCCCCCTGAGAAGGGGGAAAAAGTTAACTTTTTTCCTTTTGTAAATTAGGGATGAATTACGAGAACATCTGAAAAATGCACCAAAGATGATAATGACACAAAAACAAGATGTTGAGTCATCAGATTCCTCTTCATCTTCAGAAACAGACTCCTCTTCAGATTCTGATTCTGACAGCAGTAGCAGCAGCTCAGAGTCATCCAGCAGCAGTGACTCCTCATCTAGCAGCAGCAACAGCAGTGACTCAGGTATTTAAACAGTAACTATTCATTTCCCTTTTATTTGTTGCTATACTTCTATTTACTGCTCTTGCTACATATGCTTGTTTTGACAAACTAGCTATAGAAGGTGTTACTGTTTTTTGTTTAAAATGTATATAGGAATAAATATATGTAAAATTTCTTTAACTTATGTGTTTCAAAATACTACCTCTTGCTCATGGAAACTTACTTTAGGAATCAGAAAAACTACACTCTATTTTTAGACACTTAAGTATTTGAGGAACACTGCTATCGAGGGCTTTCTTACACAGTTGATACCTGTTACACAGAGTTATCATTTCAGTTCGGTGGAGGAAGGAGGGGTTAGAATAGTTCCCTATTAATACCTCTGTGGGGTGCCTACTGGTGAACTATGTCCTCTGTAAATGCGTCTCTTCATGGATCAGACAAGACATTACTTAGTTCTAGCAGTGTGTTTAATTTTATTCTCCATCTTAATTTTCATTTCCTAATTAGCTTTCCTCAAAAAGAGTTTGTGTGTGTTGATACTGTGAAGGTTCTAGTCTTGAGAGAAATCTCTAAGGAAGAATCAGCTTTCGCTTACAACTTCATATTCTATAGTTTTGTATCATAATCACTATTTAGCATCTCGTATCATCCTGCTCATATATAGCATTCTGTTTGGTATGAAGTGTCATAAATGTTGCTTAATCTGCGAAGTACATGCTAGTATGAATTAGTGTGTACAGTCTCTCCTGTGTAACATGAGCAGATAATAACACAGCATGACTTTCTATAGTTCACAAGCTCGGTGATTCAAAGTTAATTTGATTTATTGTGTGCCTCGGAAACAAAAATATGGATTAATAAAATAAAAGCAGTGTGAGCTGCGCATGCTTTGGAATTGCATTTCTTTCCTCTGTTGCAATGTTACTGTACAAAATCTGATTTGGGTGTCATTATGAAGCTATCACATTAATGACGATAAAGCACTAGAGGAGGGCACAGTTAAACAGGGTCAGAGAAGGCGTTAGTTCAGCAAAGAGCCAGATGGCTCCTGCAAAGACAGCTGCAGCTCTACTGAGCTGCTTGATAGGAACCAAAGAGGTAAGTCCTTAGTGACAAACCAACTGATTCTGCAGTCTGCTAGTACGAACACTTAACTTTTGTAATCTTAGGACCTTCTCTTTTACTACTTGTCCTTCCTCCATGCAGGAACACACATTCATTAAGACTTCTGATACTTTAGCAGCCTGGTTTCACCTTTTTTCTTGTTCTACTTTTTTCTTGTCTACTTAAATACAGTGGTTGGAACAATAATTTGAGATAACTATATTCTGTAATGGTAAGCTTCATTCAGGCTTGCTATAAAGTGAGGGTCCATTACTGGTTATAACTGTGTTTGCAACTTTTTAAATCTAAAATAACTGGGTAGAGATAAAAAGGAATTTTTCGTAAGTGTATTATACAGTATTTAAGTTTTTCAGCAGTACAATGTATGAGAAAACAGAAAAACTGCTGATCAGAAATAGAGCATCCAGCTAAACTGGAGATTGATCCTTACTGACATTTAGTGCGGAACTTCACTGGTGTTGCACTGCTCGGGACAGGCCGTTAAAACCAAAACTGGGCTACCAGAGGATGAAATTTGTAGTGAAAGACGCATATTTGTTTTTACTTATTTTCTGGAGTCTTTCTGCATTCTGGTAGATGTAAAATGGTAGGGAAAACACTGTTGGAGAAGAAAATCTTTATCTACAAAAATCTATGTGAAGTGATCCACCTTTGCACATTATCAGAGTACCAGTTAGCCTTAGTTCAAACAGATTAGCCAGCTACTCTAAAACTCAGGTATTTGATGTGCTATTAAATCAATTTATGACTACAGTATTTTCAAAAGGCAATTAGGAACAGTTAAATGATACCATAGTTCATACAATAAGCCATAGTAATGGTTATTCTCTAAATGGCTGTAACTTTGGTGTTCATTATTTACTTACAAGGCTTGTCACATCTGTTGAGTGAAATCTAGTGGTTCTTTATAAAGAGCAAGCAGGAGGAGTAAAATCTCTTCCATAGAGATAACCACTACTGTATATTCAGAAATACAGACTTTAGTTCATAATCTAGATGGTTTCAGAGGTAGTTGTAAATCTTGGTTTTTGAAAAGAAAATATTAGACAAATATAACTTCTAATTGAAAGCAAATCAAGTATTCTTTGCAGGTTTTTAGCAGTTGCACACTTGGATTTCATTCAGAAATTGTAACATACATATATTTAGGACTATTAAAGCTTTTAGCTAAGCATGTACTTTAATGTTTTAAACTTAAAGTTTACAACGTGTACAGTGTTCTTTATGTAGTTCAATAAATCGACTGCAGTTAATTAAAATACAACCTTATTCACATGACTTGTTATAATTTCAGATGCTCCGAAAGCTAAAAGAAAGAGAACACAAAAGAAAAATAGAGAATCTGATAAAGCTTCCAGGAAAAAACAAGGAAGGAAAAGGAAATCCATTGAGAAGAAAATCGGAAGGAGACAGCATGAGGATAGAAGTGATACTGAGAGCAAGTCAGAAAGAAATCACCGAAATCCCAGAGAAGCACATAGGAGGGATGATGTATCAAAATACTATCACAGAGATGAGTCCAATGGCAGAGACAGTTACCATAGTGGCAAGGATAGGAACCATGAAAGAAGTAAGGATCTAGAAAATAAATACAGTGATTCAAAACTGAAGAAAGCAGAGAGAAGAGCTTCTTTATCTGATGATGAAAGTTATAGACACTGGAGCAAAGATAATGGATATCGGAGTAGAAAAAGAGAGAGATCTAAATCTGTAGAGAGACCCTGTAATAATTCAAGTCCAAGAGAGGAAGAACAAGATGACAGATACAGGAATGGTTCAGAGAAACACAGAGAGAAGCACAACCGTTATTCTGACCAGTACAGAGAATCAAGAAAAAATGAGGACAGACGTAGAGAGAATTCCCCACACAGACGAAAATAATACCTAACCATTTTGAAATAAATGTGCATTTCTGGGCTGTTAAAAACTATTTTAAAAATTATGAACTTTCTTAAGAAGAAGACTTTGTACAAAGTGATAGTTTGCATTTGTAAATTTTATCAGACTTTTTCAAATTTTCCATACTGCTTTTTTTTATAGCTATCGCATTGAGTCTTTCTGTTAAAATTCTCCTTTGGAAAGATGAAGTTGTTTATTTTGTGAATAAAACAGTTAATATCTCAGTGAAATGGGTGTTTTTGTCACTTAGTTTCAAGTATTTGACTTTTAACTTTTATAGTATAAAAATGTTGTTTAAATAAACATTAGAAATACTGAGGCTAGTGTGATGAACGTAAAAATCTAGTATTATAATATGAATGTTATACGAGGATTTTTTAAGAATATTTGAAACATCAGCATGAACACTTCATGATTTCTAGGGTTATGTATTTTTCATCTTCATAAACACGGAAGCAAGTTTGGCCAAAATTTTCATGAAGAACTTCAATTGATTTATTTTTTTCTTAAGGAGTTAAAATTGGAAAACCAATATTGTTGTTTTAAATGTCACATTTGAAAGTGTGTCAACTTGTTCTGTGTTACTTTTCACAGTGTTTTTTAATACTGTAACATCCTGAGCTAGTTATACTTGTGATCTTACGGGGGGAGGGGGGAATTTCAAGTATGAATTTGATTTCAAGTTACATAGACTTCAACTCTAGCTCTACAAGGGAAGTGTTTAAGGAAAGTAATTCCAAGTGTATATATTTAAAAGAAAAAAAGGAAACAAAAGGTGTTCCAAATCTTATTTTCACTTTGAACTGTGTGGCCTGAAGTGCAAAACTTTATTGGAAGCAACGTTTGCCCCAAAAAATCAGTTGCAGCAGTTTATAACAAAATTGTTCTATCTGGAGTCACTTGAAGCAACTAACATTCGTTGAGTAAAGAATCAAAATCATCCAATTAAGACTAGATTTCATCACTAGCTAAGGAAAATTCAGAAAGTCTTTTAGAGTGAAATAGAAAATTGTGTAGACATGGTTAGTAGGAAAGTGATAGTCGTATATTATACAATTGGTGCCATAAGACTGCATTTTTTCACTCAGAAAAATGAACACAATTGCTGGGTGTATGAAAATTTGCACATTTCATGTGTAAATCATTTCATCATAACATCGTAGAAATATATTTGAGCTGTTTAATAACAGAAATCAAAACAATTCCTAAGGAAATAGATTAGTTTGGAGTAAAGCTTGTCACAATGGTTTTTTCTAAGAAAAATGACACTTTTTATTTTATTCTGTATTTAACAGAATTTATTTCTGCCAGTTTTCATGTAGTAAAACATTTCCAGTCAAACAGATTAGCACAGAAAATACATTCATGCTGCAGAGAGAAATCAAAGTTTCCATCATGCTGAATCACATAGCTATAAATGCTTTAGTGGCATCTCTTATTTAAACTGTAGTGCGTTTTTTCTTTTTTTTTGTTTCCTGTTATGCTTCTCATTTTCAAAATGACTTGTGCATTTTTCTAAATGTGTGCAAATTCCAAGGAAAGTTAATATGAGAGAATGCTTTCTAAAAACAAAAGTTATGCTGATAATTGTTTCTCTGATAGTTGTTCAGTAGTGTTATTCAAAATTACCTGTATTTCATAATGTTTTAATAATTGTAGACTCCTAATTTATCTAGACTAATACTTCCCTTACTATATCATGGGTTTAATAGCATAACCTTTATCAAGCCATAGCTTTTTCAAATACTCTGTACAAGTTATAAAAGCTTGTTAATTACATCTGTAATAAATGGAAATGCATTAAAACACTATTTGTGAAAATACAAAACCTCATTTACTTAAAATATACTCATTTGATCTTTGGTATGCTGATCAGGAGATGACAGCTTAAACAACATTTCCATTTTTTTTTTCTGGTTTGTTTCATATAGCTAATAAAGATACTGTGCTCTCTAAGGGAGGAAAAAAAGGGAGAGTGACATTAGGGCTTGAGCTGGGGTCTCTGCTGCATACACAATTTATTGTGTTTTAATTCCCCGAAATATTAATAGATGCTTAATAGAACGAGCTATTGACAATAGCTGTTGTTTTTACCATTGCTCCTATCAGCAGCTTAAAGTTACCTAAAAGCAGTAACAGAGCAGTGTTTCCAACACATGCCTGGTGACAGATGGGTGCTCAGAAGAATGGCTGGGCTGTGGTAAGGCCGCACATGTCCCCAGCCCCACCGTGGTCTTGACGCGGGTCAGTATACAGAAGGCATTCCCACTTTGTAGCGGGCTGCTGTTTCCTGAGCCAGAGGCTCTATGTCCATCTCTGAATAAAACCTCATCTATGAAGTGTCTTAACTTAATGCTTTTGCATCCCTGTGACAGCAGCATCCTGTGACAGACTTACAGTATTTTACCTGTACAGTACAGGTAAAAGTAGGTCTCATTGCTTCTGCTTGATCACTTTTATTTGGTTCCTTCTGATTTGTTTTGTGAATAAGTGTGTAATGGTTTCCTGCTTGCCATCTCACTTGTGATTTTTAAGACCTAAAGCTGTTTATTCTCTGCCGTTTCTTTTCCAGAAGTTAAAAGTAATCTGATTAATCTCTCATGTGGGACTGCTCCATAGGCCTGATCATTCTTTCTACCTTTTTAAAAATTATTATTGTTATTCTACTACATTCTTTACAAAGATAACTCAAAATGCTCTGTGGTATTCAAAATGAGGTGTTCCAGGAGATGCATGGTGATGTAAAAGTTCTGGTTTGGAGGGGGAAGTTGCAATTGGGTTTGCTTGTTTTTAGTCTCTCCTTTCAACTGTTGTAAAGCTGAATGATGCACAGTGATCCTGGGATTCTTTCTTTAGCTAACTAGGCCATTCACAGTGATGAAGTGACTCATGTCTCTAGTCTGTATTAGAGTGCAACGTTGTATTTCAACAGCAATTTTGGCCAAAAGACTTCAAGAAGTATAGATTGTATTGTATTAACTGTTGTGTTCAACCGTTCTATTCCAAGTTACTTAAAAGTGGGATTGAATTAGTTTAGCTGTGGCTTTGTGCAGGTGAATCTGGTTATGACTCTGTATAGAAACCGCGGCTATCAGCAGTCACCTAATTCAAGTACTTCTGGGTCATGTTCTGATAACTGCCTGACTGCCTCACAGGTAACCTGAATGCTGAGCTACTTCAGTCTTACCAAGCCGCAAGGTTCAGTCGCAAGTGCTCTTCACCGAAAGAAGAGTGAAAATGCCAGACTGTTTAGATAGTCTTGTTACACAAATCACCAAAATGCAATCTAATAGTACAAGAGCAGTTAGATAGATTTTTGTGACAAAAATATCTGCTGTTTGTTAAAAATATTTTTAGAGGAGTCATTAACGTGTCATGGTTCCTAAAGTGGTTTTAGTTGATATTTAAAGCAGTATTGCCATCTTAAATTGTAGTTAGTTCATCTCCAAAGTACTGCATGAAAATGTGAACTTGACTACAAAGATGTTTTTCTTTTTGCTTTGCTCCTATTAACTGAAGGTCACGTACAGATCACATACATATTGAATGTTATATTCGGTTTTGAAAATTACTCATAATGCTAATTAGATAAAGTGCATTCTTTTAACCTAAGAGTATGATGTTTATTTAATTTACTTAAGGCTGCAATAACATAACTTTTCTTAACGTTTTAATGCAGGAAATAATCTAAAATAGCTTAGCACGTCAGCCACCTAATAAATAAGGAAGCTAGGGTGGACTCTTTTGTTAAGCTCTGGGTGCAATTTAAGAGCCTCCCTATCATTATATTTTTACAGTGTTATGAAAATGAAGAAAGATGCTATTTCATCTTCATTGACTATTCTTAAACTACTTTGAATTATACTTCAATATTAAGGAAATGTGCCTAAGCAGAAGGCTAATTTTCTTGGAGAATTTAAAAAAGCAGGAATCCATTATGTCAACAGAGACAATTGACTTCAGTTACTCTAATAACGTGCAGCGAACAGGGAGGCTTGTCCTTCAATATATTTTCAATTAGAGAAACTAGTATTACTTTTAAAAACTTTTTATTAGTCAAAATATTTTTCTAAGAAATGGAGTCAAAATGCAAAACAAGGGACCATTTTAATTAAAACCACATAACGCATGTATTACAAGGTTAAAAGTGGCATAAGCAAAATATTGCTTTATACATTGGAAAAACAAGGTCACTTGGAGATGCTTTGGTTTTTATATTTAGTTTTCTCTTGCATATTTTCCTCAAGCAAGTCTATAATTTGGCTGTGACTGGAGTTAGAAATATTCTTTTCTACTCCTTATAACTATCATTAAGCACTTTCTTCTAACTTCTTTTAACAAAAAAAAAAGGGGGGGGGAAGGGAAAGACAAATTAAAACCTTGCACTGTGTTGGCAAACCGGTTTGTTAAACTGTAAACAGACAAGTCCATTAAGAAAAAAAAAAAATAACTTGCCACATGTTGACTCTATTTTTAAACTCTGTCCTTTGTATGTTCTCTTTTTTTTTTTTTTCCACTCTTCTATAAAATAAAGTGGGGACTGTAACTTTTTGTCATGAGGAAAATAAGCTGCACCATTTCTATGAAGTAGGGGCTGGGAGAGGAGGCTCCAGTTCCCTGGAGAAGTGGTGATCAATGGCAGTGTGCTGGTGGCAGAGTAAGGCCTGTGCTGTGCTCACTGGGGGTGCTGCTGCCATAGAGGTGTGGGTGCAATGCTGATGGGCCTTGGCTTGTTGGTTCTTCAGTGGCCCCAAAGGAACAAGATGTAAGGTTGTCTTCTGGGTGGTTCTGGGCACCAGAGCAGCACCTCAGAGGCCATGTCTGTCAGCACACCCATAACCACCTCAGGGCAGACAGAGGCTATGTTGCCTCATGTTTCGGTTTCAGAAGACAGTATGTGTTACCTTGGCAGGGGTGGATCTGTGTTCAACCCAAGAGAGGTCCTTAGGGAAGTGCAATGGCTGGCTGAAAAGGCCTATGGTTGGCCAAGTGGCATGGCTAACTTTTTGTGTAGCATAAAGTGAGACGCTGTGCCAAGGACATGGACCTGTTAGAACTAGTCCAGAGGAGAGCCCCAAGGATGATCAGAGGCCTGGAGCACCCTCTCCTATGAAGACAGGCTGAGGGAGCCGGGGTTGTTCAGCCTGGAGAATGGAAGGCTCTGTGGAGATCATATTGTGGCCTTCCAGTACATAGTGGGGGCCTACAGGAAAGCTGGACAGGGACTCTTCGTCATGGAGTGTAGTGATAGGGCAGGGGGCAGTGGCTTTAAACTGAAAGAGGGTGGATTTAGACTAGATACTGGGAAGATACTTTTTACTGTGAAGATGGTAAGGCACTAGAACAGAGAAGCTGTGGATGTCCCATTCTTGGAAGTGTTCAACGCCAGGCTGGATGGGCCTTTGAGCAACGTGGTCTAGTGGGAGGTGGCCAGGGGAGTTGGAACTTTAAGGTCCCTTCCAACCCAAACCATTCTATGGTTCTACGTGTCCCTGCACCCTGCTCTCCTCTGCTAGCCTGTGTGAATGCTTGTCAGTGTCAGGGGACTTGGATGGTGGACAGAAAGTTGCATTAATCTTGGCAAAGAAATAGCCAGTTGAAAGATTTCTTAACATTTTATCTCATTATGCAGGGGTGCAGTCAGCTTTTGTGGCTCCGTGGGAGGAAAGAATACTGAAGAGAGGACTACCTCAAAGGGGACACGTACTTGTAATGAATGTGCTTCCTTTGTTCAGGCATTGAGGTTGGGTGTCTGGTCTGCAGGCTGCCGCTCTTTGAGGTTCACAGGGCACCTTCTTCTGGTGCTGCACACTCTATTGTGAGTCACCGGAGGTGAGACACAAAAGTGCTTAAGAAAAATTGGAGCCAAATGACTTACTTGATCAGTAATTGAAATGAGAGACTGAAAAAGTGCATTTAGAAAAGAAAAAAAAAATGCCCATTTTGCAGCTCTGTTCCTTCCTGTCCTCTCTTCCACTCACAGGAAAAAAAAATAAAAAAATAAAAAGTGTTATAATTCTTTGTAGAAGAAAGGTGGTGCATCAGCCTGTTTTGATCATTGTACCTGTTTGAAACAGCAATTCTTTGAGATGCCATCCAGAAGTGCTTCACAGCCCATCATTTCCTCCTCTCTTGCTGAGCCCATTTATATGATTATGGCTATGTAGAGAAAGTGGGAGGATCAGTCAGCTACTATGCCCATTGCAGGGAAGGACCCAGCCGCAGTGTTCCTCAGGCTAAATTCATCCCTGGTTACACCAAGTCAGTTTGTTTCATTTTAGCAAAGTGATTCTTTCCTCTCATTTCATTTTTAGTGCTCTATTTACGGAGAGGCAAATAAAAAAATACTGGAAAAATGTGTTTTGGTTTTTAGTTTTGTATGTATGCATAAATACACACAGGTGCATACCAAGTCTTCTATTTTCATTCTCTTTTTATATAAGAGCTTAAGATGAGTTGTATGTGTCAATTAAGACAGTTCACTGCAATAAATTTCACCTATTTATAAAGAGCTTCATCGCCATACTATCTGAATAGATCCCAAATGGTATTTTTTATCTATACTGTGTTAGTGCAAAATATTCATAATTTTTAATATTGCAAAGTCCACCTGGGGAAAACAAAGTGCATGTGGTACATTAGCTATGGTTTTTCTGTGATGTATGATATAACATAATGCTGCTAAATTGGAAAGTTGTTTATTTTTATTGTACTTAATGACAGACATTTCAACAGGTGGGATTACAGATACCAGCAATGTTAGTGTATGTTTTAGTCATGTTCTGACATTGTATGTGTGTGTGTGTGTGTA